ATCAGATAGAGACTTACAAAAATGTGAATTGATGCTTTATGTGGCCCGAGTACTTGTTCTTTCCAAAACTCAGGTGGAAATTTAATCCACAGTGTTCGGAGTTGGGGCCTAATGGGAATCACGTGATGAGGACTCCACCCTCAATGAATGGATCCGTGCCTATTGACAGGGCTTATGGGGGCCAGGGGCATAACTCAATGGTAGAGCAGTTACCTGGCCTGTGCCAGGCCCTGGGCCAATCCCCAGCATCACAAATAAAGGCTTATGGGAATGGGGCCCAGCTCTGTTCTGTTCTTCTGCCATATGAAGGTAGAGCATTCCTGCCAACTGGGAGGATGGAGCATTCAAGGCACAACCTTGGACCCTCACCAGACACCAAGCCAGTCACTGTCTGGATCTATTAGAACTCTCAGCCTTCGGAACTATACAAGATAAATTTCTATTTTTTATAAATGACCTAGTCTGTGGTATTCTGTTACATCAGTACCTACAGACTAAGGTAATGTCACTCTTCTCACTAAATTATTTTGGTTTGAGAAATACCATTATTTTCATTGAAGTTTATTATATTGCTATATAATGATGGATTGTTTTATTTTTAATTGAACTAAAAAATTTTTTTAAAATTTCTCCATTTCAATCTCTAATATAGTAATAGATATAACCCAGATAAACAAAAACTCTTTGGCATTACATCATAGTTTTTCAGAGTATAAACACGGAGGCCCCCAAGACCAAAAAAAATTTTGAGAATTGGTACTTGAGAAAATCCTGGCTTTTTCTGAGCAACACTAACAGTCAAGAGTAAAAATAAAATTATATGATGTGGTCATTAATTTATAGATAGATAGTTTAAACAGTTTTCTCATATACTCAATTGAACAAAATGGCAAATATTTGACCAAATTGCTTACAAAAAAATGGTAATTTCATTGGTAAAACCCAATAAAAAAGTTAGTAACCTTCTAAATGGGTTGCTGTTACTTTGACATTTCACAGTTTGTTGAGAAAATATTGGTGGAAGCGTTTTACTGTTTTATCTGCATTCTTTTATCCAGATTTCTTTTTGTAAAATAACATTTTTCTTAATTATTTCCATTATTTCTGATTATGAAAGTAATACAAAAAAAATGTATAATTCTAGGCACCCATAATCCCACCATCCAGACATAGCTATCTGTGTAGGATTTTTAGTAATACAGTGCTTCCACTCTGTTTTCTAGGCATATTTTACCTATAAACACGCATGTTGTATTTTTAATATTGAATTCTACTTTTGTCACCACTGTTCTATAAACATTTTTCATTTCATTTAAATTGTCTTGTTAAACTTTTTTTCCTGATTATAAAAATCAACATGTACATTTTTCAAATATCTTTAAAAATGTAGAAAACTGTGAATAACCAAATCACATGAATGTGATTAATTAATTAATTAATTCGGCACCACCTAGAATAATGGTTCCTATGATTTGGGTATAAATTTTTCTATTGGTAGACATATTGTTTGATAGCCTTAGTATATTGTTATGAACATCTTGGGGCAAATAAAATAAATAAAACTCTTTTTTTTCTTCTACTGGATTTTTTGTTTTGTTTTTGTTGTTGTTCTAAATAGTTATACATGACAGTAGAATGCATTTTGACACATCATATATAAATAGAGTATAACTTCTCATTCTTCTGATTGAACATGATGTAGAATTACACCAATCGAGTAATCATATATACACATAGGGTCCTAATGTCCAATTCATTCTACTATCATGCCTACCCCCATGTCCCTTCCCCTCCCTTCTTCTCAAAACTGGAATCACCTCAGTGCCACTAATGGTGATAAAACACAGCACATAGCAGAGAGAGTGCTATAGAGGACAGTGGCAGTGCCCACCATTCTGCATATTCCTCCAGGTAGAACTACTGAGACCAAGGGCATGGACATTACCTTTGCTTCTTTTATTGCCAAATTGTTTTCAAAAAGGTTGTCCCAACTGACATTCCTACCTGCATGCTTGAATGCCTATTTCACCTCCCTGGGCCAGTATTGGGCTCTCTCTCTCTCTCTCTCTCTCTCTCTTTGTCTCTTACTCAATGTCTCCTTTCCTTAACCTCTTCTCTCCTGTTTTCCACAATAACTTCATAAACAGAATGTTCCCCTGTTTCAATGTGCGTGACTTTGATGTTTACTGATGTTGAAACTGTTTTCCCAATTATCGTTTGCCAACCAACCCCTGGCTTTGCCTCTGTAGTGAGTCACTTTTCTTTTCAAGATGGCTGATTCACATTGGCGTCAAACTTTGATATCCAGTCAGTAGTTATGAAACTGGTGTAGCCAGCTGGACCACAAGGGTACTGAACTCACTCTTTTGGCTTCATTATTACCTATTTGCTAACCAAACGGACTAACTAGTCACTGTTAGAAATATTTCTGGCGAGAAATACAAAATGTTGAAACCACAAGTAACCTTCTCTGGTAAATACCCGACTACAGCCTAATTTTGTGCCCTGTAATTTAAGAGGAAAGTGAATAACTTATACTTCAAAAAAAAGAGCAGTAACAGAAGAGTAAACTTGAAATTGGTCCTATTTACTTACTTAGGAAGCCCTAAACCTGTCAATCATGGTGGCTAAGCCCTGAACCCGTAAGCCTTGCTGGCTCTCTTATTCTCAGCAACCTTTCTCTGTCTACACACATCAACATATTTGAAATAGTACACCCCAAAAGAGAAAGGCCATGTCTAATTCTCTTTTTGTACAATTCTGTGCAAATAGATACATCTAACATTGTGTTTTTATAATCCTCTCTCAGTATCCATTTGGAATTGGTTCCAGGCCCCACCCCTGCAGATACCAAAATCTGAGGATGCTTAAATCTCTTACATAAAATAGTGTATGATTTGAGTATAACTTATTTTCCTGTATATCTTCCCATATGATTTTAATATCTTCCTGCATACTTGAAAACATGACTTAGGATACCTAACAGAATGTAAATGCTATGCTAATAGTTGTTATACTGTATTGCTTAGGGAGTAATAACAAGGGAAAAAGTCTATACATGCTCAGTACAGGCACTGTATATATAAACACACACATTTTTTTAAAATCTGTGGTTGCTTGAGCTCACAGATTCAGAGCCTATGGTTACAGAAATCTCGTGATATGTACTTTGAGATAGCAGCCATATGTAGGGCAGAAAAAAGAAAGGTAAAAAGAATCATGGGAAATACATTTAATTTTTAAAGTACTAAATATATGATAATAGGGAGAGGACTACAGCTGCCAGTAAGAGTCATTGAATGGAAAACCTCAAGATATCCTCCTATGACATAACCAAGCTCTGGCCTGGATAGGAAAGGATAGTGAACTCTAAGCATCCCTAGGGATATGAAGAGATCAAAATTGAAAGGAAAACACCCTGACATAAATGTCTAAAAACAGCAGACTCCCTGTTTTCCTGTGTTCTGTTGACCAGATCTCTTCATTAACTACCTCCCAAGCTTCTCCAGTATCAATAGTGGTTCATAATGATGACCTGGGGCACAGCAAGATCTTGAAGTGCCCTCTGACTCATCAAAGAAATATTAAATTAAATGTATTTTGTTGTGGTCTAATTATTTTAAAATTGGTAATCCATGTGTGGCATATATGGTAATTCCCTATTAATCCAATATTTGATTCAACCAGAGCAGTATTTGATTTTAATCCATTTCCCAACCAGGGTGAAGAGTTGATGCTTGTTTTAAAAAATGTCGCGGAGCATGCAACCGTCGCGTCTCTATTGTATGTCGCTTGAGGAATTTACATAAGCACGGCTGAGCATCAGTTGTTTCCTTGCTCTGCGATAAAAGTTCATTTTTAAAACCTCAAATTGCAATTTGTCAAAGTCCATTTGCCAGTACTTTAACAATTTCAGCCAAATTGTAAATTGTATAACTGTCTGCATCATTTGCATACATAATCATGTTAGAGTGATGGTCTAATCTAGGCACATCATTTATGAGAAGAGGGAACAATAGCAGCCGGCTTCCAATTCTTGGGATACTCAGAGTAATTTATTACATGGCTGATGTTTTCTTTCTAATTTCCACAAAATGATCTCTTTTAGAATGATGAGCAGTAAGAACTGCTGTCCCTTGTGTATTGTCTTTACTGCTTTCCTAATCTTGAATTGAGAGCAAACATGAGCACCATGTTACCTGTCTGCATCACACACACACACACACACACACACACACACACACACGAGTCATTCAGTCCAAATGATATCACAAGAGTTCAATGAAACAACATCCTCCCCAAATGGTACCCCTGTGTTAAATTAATTTAATCTGTGGGTCTCGTTATTGAGGATTCTTTTCTGTGCATTGACAATTTGCCAATTGCTCACTTCCTATTTCTAATCAATCTTGTAGATAATTTACCAGCCAACTAAATCGTTTTACTGGCCTATCATACTCTTCCACCCGACAGAGAGCAAAAGTAAATACAATCAGTCTTGTGTTGCGCCATCAGAAATTTATGATGACCCCAGGCAAGTAGCTTTCTGCAAGACTAATTTATGTGTAGTCACATCTGTCACTGTGGCACTTGGACACGTCCTAGGCTTTTTTATTAGTTATTCCTGGTAACAACCCCATGAGATCACAAGGTGGGTCGTATATGCACCCTTTCTCGAGAAGCTTCTGAAACGGTATTGTATGCCTACATTTGGGGATTCAGCCCTCAAATCAAGAGAAGGGTCTGGACCATAGATCAGGGTCACCTCCAGCCTTAGAATCTCGGCCAGACCCAGATTCATCATTGCCAGTATTAATCCTTCCCCCATGATAAACACTGGAGCTCAGAAAAGGAAATCATTTTTCTGAAGTCATACAGCGTTTGCATGGCAGTAAGGCCAGGCTCTCCTTTAAGTCAATGGTTAACACAGATTCACACAAACCTGGATTCGAATCCTGACTCCTCCATGTACTAACGGTCTGACTGCGGGAGTTGCCTACCTTCTTTTACATCACTGTCGACCTCTTTAAAATGAGGGAAGCAGTGCCTGGGTGTGGTGATGCACATCAATCAATCCCAACCACTTCTGAGGCTGAGGCAGAAGGATCAAGTTCAAGGCCAACCTCAGCAACTTGGAGAGGACCTGTCTCAAAAAGGAATATTCTGTAAGGGTCTGGGGATGTAGCTCAGTGGTAAAGCGCCTCGGGGATCAATCCACAGTAGCAAAAAAAAAGAAAAGAAAAATGAATTCAACCCCCAGATAACCACAGGATCCATACCCATTGTTTGGGCAACAGAAACCCTTGTTCTTAGGATACCACACAATAGGGGGAAAAACTCAAGTTGTCCTTCTTTCTCATCTAAAAACTTGCTGTTTGGTTACTGGAAACATTTTGAAAACTTTTCAATTCAAGTTGAAAATAACAAACATGATAATAGAATTTTAAATAATTTTAGCTTAAAAATACTTAAGTGTAGACAGAGAAAAATTGATGAGCCTCTGCTGAGTCAGAACACATCCACAGGGTCTCAGCTTTCATCTGCAAGCCAAAAACTACCAGATCATACTTTCCCTCCTGAGTGACAGATATTGTCCCTGACTCAAATGCAAATCACACTCGGGTACCAACCAACACTAGTGAGTGGTAGTTTGATACCCATAGAGTCTTGCACAGTGTTCCTACAGTCCATAAGTGTTCATAGGTGTCAGCAAGTGCTGTGAGGCTCCACAGATCAGCACCTTTTTTTTTTCTTTTTGATACTGGGGATTAAACCCAGGAGCACTTCAGCACTAAGCTACATCCCCAGTCCTATTAATTTTTTATTTTAAGACAGGGCCTCGCTAAGTTGCCGAGGCTTGCCTCTAACTTGAAATCCTCCTACCTTGGCTTCCTGAGTTGCTGGAATTATAGGTGTTCACCACCATGCCCAGCAGATCAGCATACTTCATATCCAAAGCTGAGAAGATTCTCCTCTTCGGTTTGAGATTTGTTTAAATAGCTTTGACATAATGCCATGTAAAAAGTTTCCTTCGATGTTTATAGAACAGGAACAGATAGGCACCCACCTTGGATGAGGTATCTTTCAAAATAAAGAAACCTCGAATCCTTACCTTAAAGAGCGTACACTCTTTCTAAAGAGAGGGTAGGGCCTATCCATAACGCAAATGGAACTGTGAGATTCTTTTTTTAATCTATGTAAATTGCAAGGGGACTGGATGGGTCTTGGAACTTTCCAGGGGAAGTAGATGAGAGCCGGACCTTGAAGGATTAGATCACACTTCCTTCCTGCCAGCCATCTATCTGTCCACGCACCCTTCCTGCTGAGCACCAGGCACTGATAGGAATACAAAGTTAGTGGGTGCTTAGTCTTGGGCCCCAAGGCCACTCCAGGCATATGGAAGAGATGCATGGGCCCATCAATCAATGACTGCTGGCCAGAGGAGTGGCACTGATGAAGTGGGCCCCAGCAGGCTCAAGGAGTATGGAGGAGGGTCTTCTAACAGGAATGAGAGGTAAGGGAAGGCTTTCAGAAGGAGACAATTAGAAAACTAGGTTGAGAAGAGGAAGAAAAAAACAGGCTATGTCAAGGCATGGAGGCCAAAAAAAAAAAAAAATGGGGGGGGGGGTGGTGGAGGCTGATGGCACCCCAAGTAGTTCAGAGTGTGCAGGAGGGCTGGGGATGAAAGCACAGAAGAGTGGGCGGGATAGTTAAGACTTTGATGGGGGTGAAGGAGAGTGAAGAAGGTGACCATTCCAGACAGAAGGATCTGCATCATCAAAGGCACAGAGATGTGAAAAGCACATTACATGAAAGAAGACCAACAAGCAGTCCAGTGTGGCCGGAACAGAGGGGAGCAGAGAGAGGAGACTGGAAAGGTAAAATGGGGCCGAGGTCCATCCTCCTGCTGTGGAATTCCTGTCTGGGTCCCTCTGCGCCATCTGGCTGGCCTGGTTCTCAGTGTTACAGTACAATCATTCTACTCCAGCGGCCCACACATCTTTCTCTGCCATACTGATGGTTTTATGACCTTAATTTTGACTCCGGGCCAAACTGGCCATATGGCTGGGCTGCCTTAGCAGAGAAACCCTTTGAGCCATTTGCCCTGGGTACTGTTCGTATTTTCTTCTCGGCTTCAGATTTCTCTTCCATGTGGCTTTTGATTGGCTTCATATTTGGGCCAACAGTGGATGTCAGAAAAAAGATGGTTAGGAAATAAATACCTAAGAGATAGTTGGTTCCCAATGAACGCATTCTTTTAATGATGTTCATTCTAGAGAATTCCAAGGGCTAAGAAATCCTGGGTCGAGCCCAGATTTTGGCCACATCTATGAATTCTAACAGGGGTAGTATTCTTTCACATCGTCTGAGGTAAGACATGATGGTCGGCTCAGCAGCTTTGGAGTGAATAAAGTGAGCTTAGATCTTTTGCATTTAAATGCCTTTTTGTAGACCGTGATCCTATGAGTCACAGAGAAAGAAGACTCTTCCTGTTGATTTATGACCTTGGTGTTTTCTGGGAATTTTGTCCATCTTAGAACAGCCTGATCATTTTTAGATTGCATTGAATTCCACAGAAATATGGCATGCCATAAGTACCTTTCATTTTTTAATATATAGTAAGCATTAATAACTGACAGCAGTTCTTTCTAATAAGTTTAGTCTAAAAAGTGCCTGCTATGGACCCAGCTCTTTGTTTGATATTGAAGATGCTGATGAGACACAATCCCTATACTTAAGGAGATTTCATATAATTCAGTATGACCCGAAACAAACAAAAAAGTAGTAAAATTTCCTCTCCATTCTCATTTTTAAGGATTTTTTTTCAACATCTCTTATAGTGGGTTTCTCGTACCAAGGCAGTTACGGGGTCAAGCCTAAGATGTTTTAGCAGCATTTTCTTCTCAGATGAAGGACAAAATCATTAAATTCCTTTTAATTCTGTGAACCTGCCCAAATATTCCAGACTTATTTCAGAACAAAAGGAAATCAATTTGAAACACTCAGACCATTCAGAGACAAAATGGCCCTCATGAGGCAGGGCACTTTGGGTTAAGACAAACTAGAACCAAATTCACATTAGCTGAAGTAAAGGTGAGAATGTATTTATTCATATACTAAAATACCTGGGGTAGGGAGCTTCTGGCTCAGCTGGATTCCACAGCTCCAACAATAACATCTGGCTCACTCCTCAACTCTTGCCACCCACTTTGGCTCCATTGGCCTCCATGTTTGCCTCATTTCCAGGTGCACCAGTTGCCTATAATCCCCCCGGCAGCTCCAAGCTCATACTCACCCACACAAGCTCCTCGAGGAGAGAGGGTCCCCAAGGTAGTTCCAGCAAGAGTCCTGGTATTGGTTTTCCTGTCCCCAGCTTGGGTCTTTAACTGTGGACAGAGTGGTGCAGTCACCAGGTGGCCAGGCTTGGGTCAACCTAGAGCCAGGGGTAGGATTTGTCCCACTCAAACCAAATGATCTGAGAGGTGCCTCCTTGACCAAGAAATCTCCAGTGAGACTTCTCAAAGTAGGGGATGGGAGCATACCGGGGGCAACCACCATTCATCACACTTACCACAGCAAATCCTCACTTTTGGAAAACCAGGCAGCATATCAGTGAAGGGAAGATGACAATTAATTGTAATAAATGTCATCGGTCATAGTCAAAAGGCAAAACGTTACCGAGAATTTGGGGTTTGTTTTTTAATCTTCCAATGCCAAATAACTCTTTTGATTGGATTATTTTCACTAATTTTAACAAATTAAAAAATACTTGGCCCAGATGCTACCTAAACACACTTCAATATTAAAAACAAACAAACAAAAAAAAAACTTCTGCAATTGTGTGGATTGGTTAGGTTGATTGTTTTGGAACCATCTAGAAATGGTTTTCAGGTCATAGAGTTAGGTAAGCTACATGATACTGCATAAACAGCCTGACATTTATCAGGTTGTTTTTCTCCAGACCATGACTTCCCCACAAGGCCAATGTAAAATACACTCCTTCAAGGGATCCTTCATTTAATGTCATTTTGTAGAAACAAAGAGAGAATTCAACCCTATCTTTGGAGGAAAATGCATCACATTATTTTACCTATGATTATTTAATAATATTAAATTTTTCCTCCAAATTTATCAATCACCTTCTCACCATAACTCCATATAAAATAAAAATTCATAAAGGGTTGTTATAGGCAAAACAAATACACACACACACACACACACATTCCCTAGAAATATTTAATAACTGGGGGCTGGGGCTGGGGCTGGGGCTGGGGCTGTAGCTCAGTGGTTAAGTGCTTGCCTCACATGTGTGAGGCACTGGGTTCGATCCTCAGGACCACATAAAAATAAATAAAGATATGTGTGTCCATCTACAACTAAAAAAAAATTTTAAGAAATATTTAATAACTGAATAACATATTTACTTTTTAATTAAATTTATTTTTAAACTAATACCTAAAAACATGAACGTTATTTGTATTCATGGAGTACCATGTGATGTCTCAATACATTGTGTAATCAGGCTACATGTATCTATCTCCTCAAACATTTATCACTTCTTTATGGAAAAACCATTCAGAATCCTTTTGTGCCTTTTGAGATACACATTTGCTCCTTGCAGTCACCCTGTGTTGCAGGGGCCCCCTGGAACTACCCACCTGCATCTGATCACAACTTGTACACCCAGCCCCATCCCTCCCTCCCTGCTTTCCCCAGCTCCTTAAAAAAAAGGAATCTATGTTTTAATTATAAACTTTTATAGCAAAATAATAAAGTCTGTATGTAAGACTTCAGAAGTCTAATAATGAAATATGATTTATTACTATGAATCTAAATTCAATCTTTCAGGAAAAAAAATGATTATTTTAAATTTCATATGTCCCTCCTTATAACACTGGTATGATTTACCCAAACAAGAACTCTCCTGAAGATACTTATCTTTTTCTTTTTTTGTTTTCTATTTTTTCCATTCCACCTACATTTTCCTTGGCTTCCATATTTTTCTGAATGGAACCTGTATACAACAAAGGCAAACATATTTCACAAATTGAGGAGCGTGGTGATTAGTTTTCAGTAAGATCATAATAAATCCAGCATCAGGCTGATTTCATAGGCTTTTGTTTTAAGTACTATTAACATACAAAACACTGTTGGCACCATTGCCAAAGTGAAGGTTGCCTGGCGGTGTGCAGCACCAGGACCGTGACAGCTTCCGCTCTGCAGTCAGCATGGTCCATCCTCCTGCTGTTGTGCCAACTCTTGTGATGCATTCACCCTGGCTTCCCAAAGGTACTTGCTTGAGCGATGAGATTCGCCCATTTTTCATCATTCCAGAAAAGCCAGAAGCCGGCTCTCTCTCTGGTGGACTCGGTGATCTTACCTGGAGGTGTTAAGAATTGCTAAGGGCTGTAAGGACCTGTGTAAATTACAGCCATGCAGAGAGGCGTTGAAAAATCAATAAGTAATGAAATAGTACTGGAGCGAAGTAGCCAAGAGAGCAATGGGTGGGAAACTCCCAAGGATGCAGTTTCATTTTGTCAAAAGGTAAAAGAAGATGTTCTGATGTGTTTCTATAAAACGGGCTTCCTTGGAAATGAGAAGGTTTGGGCATGAATAGTGGTAGTGTCTCTCTGGTGTGCCACAGGAGCACAGGGGACTGTGGATTTCTTGGCACTACAGCTTTATTTAAATTATGCATTATTATTCCAAGACAGCAATAAGTATGGCATGTCTTTCAGCACCATGGGAGTCTGCCCCTTGGCTGGTTTTCTGTGCTTGTACTTGGATGCTCAAGTACACCCCATTTCCTCAAAACTCTACATAGCCTACATTGACTACCTTCATCCTTCTGATCAAGGTTGGCAACATTCCCCAAGAATGCACTGGTGTGGCTGAACCTTCATCAGTTCCCAATGGCTCCCCTCTATTCATGGATGGTTCTAGATAGGTGTAGGGTAGAGGTTGAAGCATTCTGTCTAAGCCCAATAGCCAAATGGAAGATTCATAATGTTGAGAGTCTCAGAGTTGATATTTAAATCTACTGATATCTTTTTTTCTTTTTGAAGTTACAACCTATCTATGCTTGTGATGTTCCTAGTTTGTTTGGAGATAGCAGAACTGATTTTTATAAAAAGAAGATTGTGGAGTATTTGAATATAACAAAGAATTAGATGGAGGGGAGGAATCCAGAGAGGCGTTGAAAAATTTGGGCAACCTGCCACCCTCCTTCTTCTAAGTGAAGGTCTCAATTCCTCTCTGCCCTTTCCAATAATGAGTGATGGCCTTCGCCCTTCACATGCCCATCTGGAGTATCACAGATGATTCTGTAGCAGGGGATGAGCCACCAGCCAAACATAAAGGTCTGGATCAAAAGATAGTCATAGAGATATCACCTAAAAGCCCAAGATGATGGAATTATATTTGCACTTGTGTTCTTTCTCTCTCTCCCCACCACCTGTTTCTCTTAATGTAGCTCCTATGTTTCTCAGTAGACCAATGAAAACCAGAGAATGT